GAATGGATATATATCATTTTTTACGACCAAGAAACAAAGTGAAACTCTATCTCTCTCTCTCTCTCTATTCCCCACCCGCCTCCCTCAATGGGCAGCGGGTTGTTACGCACATGCTACAGCTGGATGCATAGTATTCCATTTCTACTCTACTCTGTGGTGCATTGAATCCAGCTTCTTCCAACCCAACCCCACCCCCCATCCAATTTATTTTCCAGTAAAAATACAGACAAGACATTCGATTGGATTCGATATCTGATAGCCTTTTGCAATTTAGTTTGATAGTTCGATCACAACGATCATCACATGAGGACCGGACGTCCCTCCTTCCAAAGGGAGCTCGCCGCCCACCATCCACCCCTGGTATCAACTGCCACTTCTCGACGTGTATGTTCATGAACTTATATTTGCTAAAATACATGTGCATATCAATTTGTTCAAGGAACGGGGAACAAGGGTGTATTCCATGAACACACAGAAAGTGGAGACCAATAGAATATTAAAAGGAAAGTGGGGAAGGGGCCAGAGGAAAACACCCTGGGGAATACAGTGAAAACATATTTGCCAAATCTCCCCTCAACTTGACCTCATTCGCATGGCACATTTTTCTTCTTTCGCCTCTCAGTCCCCTTCTCATTTCGTTCTTCACACCCTCTCCTCACAATTCCCCCACTCTTTATCCCCCGTCGATATATGTATATGTATATGTATATGTATACGTCAGACATAGCTAGGTATGTCGGGGCATAGTAACGTGTGCCTGCCACGGCCGGAATATATCGTTTTAGAACAATATGTTAGTAACCCCTTTCTCATACAAACTAGAGATTTAAGGATTGCGCAAATAAGAAATGGTGTAAACAAAAAAATACACACACACACACACACACACACACACACACACACACAAACACACAAATATACACACAGAAAGATGTATATATAATTAATAAATGAAGCTTTTATATATATATATATAGATATATATGCAACACAAAGCTAAAGTGAAAAACAAATCAAATGATAAGTTAACTCTGCGTGGGCATCACGACGCTCGCCTTTGTATTGACCGCATCCTCACTCCGCCACAAGCTCGTGACGGTCTTCTGCTGCGTGTAGAATTGCAGGCCAGGCTTGCCGTAGAAAGTGCTTGCACCACCACCTGCGATGCTCTTCTTGTTGCCGGTGAAGGAGAACATGGGGAGGGGGACCGGGATGGGACTGTTGTGCCGAGGGGAAAATTTATATATATATATATTAGTCCATGTGCATTTGGATTTCAGGGTTTGCGTTGGGAAGGAAAACATACACATTGATACCGATTTGGCCGGCTTCCAGCTCGCGTTGGAATTTGGTGGCGGTGGGACCAGATCGGGTGAAGACCGCAGCGCCATTACCATATTCGTTCGCGTTGATGAGGGAGATGGCGTCGTCGACGGTTTCCACTTCGAGACAGACGAGGACGGGGCCGAAGATCTCTTCCCTGTAGCAGCGCATGTGTGGCTTTACGTTGGTGATGATGGTGGGGCCGACCTTTTTGTGAACCACGTTAGTGACGAAAATAACAGAGCAAGGATATATAGTAATACCAGGGGACGCATTATTGACTTACCCAGTTGCCATTGGGATATTTCTCCGGTTTGTATCCGCGCCCATCAAGTAGGATTGTGGCACCCTCCTTCTCAGCACTGGCAATGAGGTCTTCAATCCGCTTCTTGCTCTCAGGGCTAATGACAGGGCCCAAGTCGGCGCCTTCTTCGAAGCCACCATCGACTCTTAGAGTCTTAGCGCGCTCAGCAATCTCCGGAAGCCATTCTTTGGTCTCCCCAACCATCACGAGGGTGCTCAATGCCATGCATCGCTGACCAGCAGCGCCAAAAGCAGCACCGGTGATGGCATTCAGGGCGTGATTCTTGTTACAGTCTGGGAGGACGGCTGCATGGTTCTTGGCCCCCAGGTTGGCCTGGACTCGCTTGCCGTTGGCAGAGCCACGGGTGAAGATGTATTCTCCTGCGCGGTTGCTGCCAACGAAGCTGATGGCTTTGATGGCTGGTTCGTCGATGATGAAGTCAACTGTTTTAGCCCGAGCCGTGAACGACGTTGATGACCCCATCAGGGAACCCAGCTTCACTGGCTAGTTCAGCAAGGATCATTGCAGCGCCGGGGTCACGCTCGGATGGCTTGAGGATCAAGCAATTGCCGGTTACAGTAGCAGTAGGGATGGACCAAAGGGGAATCATAGCAGGGAAGTCTAGTGAGAAGAAATTATCAGTAAACCTGGGTTTTCAAAGGATTCCCCAAGGAGAAAGCGAAGAACAAAGACAGAAGAAGTAGAGGATGTAAAAAAGAAAGAAAGAAAGAAAACATACTGAACGGGCAAATAGCGGCAACAACACCCAGGGGCTCTCTATAACTCCGGGTTTCCATATCCTTAGCGACTTCCAGAACCTCTCCCGTAATCTGTGTTGTAATACCACACGCGGTCTCCGCGACCTGCAGGCCTCTCAGCACATCACCTTTGGCATCCGCAAAAGTCTTCCCTTGCTCCAGCGTGATACTGGCGGCCAGACGATCCCAATTCGCGCGGATCAGGTTGGTGAACTTGAAGATGATCTGCTGTCTGGCCATGATGCTGGTGGCGCGCCATGCGGGGAACGCCTTCCGGGCACTCTCGACGGCGGCGCGCAACTCCGCATCTGTGCTCTGGGGCACGCGGGTGACGAGGTTGTTGGTGGCGGGGTCGTGCAGGTCGATCCAGGTACTAGCATTGGAGGGGACGAATTTGTTATTGATGAAGTTGCAGGTGTTGACGGGGGAGGCGAGCGGGGCGTGGCTCTTGGGATAGTTCTCGGCCGGATAGGGAGCTCTAGCTACAGCAGACGCAGGGCTCAGCTGCTGGGCGGTGGCGTGCAATCTGCGGAGTGCTGTATGCGATGCGGGAAGCTTGGAAGCCATTCTGCTGCTACTGGCGGCTATGCTGCGAGAGGAGAGGCCTGTAATGGGGATACTGCGAGAGATGGCGGAACGACCGATGAAAGCGGGGATGGAGCGGGAAACGGCACGACAGGCGGCCATGGCGGCTAGACAAGGGGAAGAAGATTGGTGGCACGGAGGAGGAAGCAGGGCGCGACGGGCAGACTACAGCAGGAGAAATATATATGTACAAGAGGTGGAGGACGCGGGCACTACACTATATACAGTATATACAGGACACGCAGCAGAGATGCGGAGAGAATTGGGGCAGGCGAGGCCGTTGACGCTGCGGAGAGCGGTTTCCCAGCTTTATATACTCCCAACTAGGCCTAGTAAGTGCTAACTAGGGGTTGCTCAGCGCGCTTTGCTGCGGCGTTCTCAGGCCAATCAGACGGCGGCATCTCGCCAACCTCGCTGGCCGGAGCGTTCTGTCGGCGCCCGCGGGCCGGGGAAGGGATTATTATCTGGAGATATAGATATAGTTGCAGATTCGGTACATGGCTAATATAACTCCGGCAGTAGATCTAGTTTATTTATACATACTAGAATCTAGATATACATATATATATATATAGTTATATATATTCCTATGTTTAATTCGATAATTATCTATATGATAATGCCTTATATCTACCCAGCTGCCATGCTGCAGTCTTGAGCCTCACCCAACACTGTGGCAAGACCTGGCGAACTAATGCCAACTGTGGGGATGATGAGGGGCGACGAGTCTGGAGGGAAAAGATCAATATTACATGGGCCATGCC